GACATGAAGGCGTATGGGGGAGTGAATGTATAGATCCATATTTTCTTGACCTCTGCACTAGTTGGAGGTGGGTAATTATTAATATAATTATTATAATTTATTATATAATTTACTATTATAATATATAAGAGTAATATACTTATACTTATTGGGAGCCGGGAGTCGGTGAAGCGACTAGCTATGGGCTGGGCGACCGAGGAGTCGAAGTTCGAGTCCCGGTAGAGTCAAGAATTTTCTGTTCTCTAAGTCGTACAGACCGGTTCTGGGGCCCATCCAGTCTCCTATCTTATGGGTACCGGGGTAAAGAGGCCAGGGCGTGAAGCTGACAGCTCACGTCTAACTAATATCGAGGTTAAGAAAACGTAGATCTATATTGTAACGTGTTTCGAGTTCGAAGCTCGTCGGTCACGTGTGTAAGTCCAAATCCCACTTCTGACACCAGTTGTCGCGTATCGCGGGGTATATCGCGACAAATAACTTCACGATGTATTTTATATAGCGAATTTTATTTCACATCCGCTCTCACAATCACCCAAATTACAATCTGACGATTACTGCTATCTGCAGTATCACAAACATTACACTCCAAATGCCACAATACAACTGACTGGTTGCTGGCTAATTCGGAACTCGGAGGTAGCTCCTGGACTCGCTGACTGACTCAGTAGAACTCACTAGTACAACTCCTGTGAATAGCCTTCGCTGCGCCTCATGTAGCCTCGATCGGACCATATGGAAAACGGCCGCGTAATAGGCACCCTTTTTGCCTGGCGCTGTGTTGCTATGTAACGCTAGCGGAGGTACCCGCTGTTACTATCGTAACGTCACCGCTGTTGACTCGCGTTGCCTAGCGACCGCGATATCCCTCGGTGACGTCACCGCGGAGGGGAGTGGCGGGGCGGGAACTCGCCTATTAATGTAGTAACGCGAGCCTTACGTTACCGCCACGTACCGCTGGGGAGGTAGGGTTCAACATGTCACAATATGTCCATTCCGCCATACTCCTTTATGGCGTAGTACATAATTAAGCAAGCACAGGTACAATTTTACCTCTATACGTATACTTGTTATTCAGATCCTGCAAACTGCCTTATTTTTGTATATGTGTTTTGTTTTGTTTATATTTTGTGGTGATATTTTCGGTTGCCGCTTCTGTGGTCTAGTGGTCAAAGTTCCTGGATACAGATCCAAAGGCCCGGGTTCGATTCCTGGCACTATCAGATTTTCTGAGAAATATTGGATCATGGGACGGAGTCCACTCAGCCTCGTGAGGATAACTGAGGAGCTATTTCAATGACATTTTTATTTTTTGAAAACTACGTAATTTTCGCTTGTGTAGCAAATGCTGATTCACAAAAGTGATTCTAAAGTTATTATTTTTATTACATGTGGAGCGCTATCTTCCGGTCTAGAATATCGAAATTAACGGCCGTGGGGATTCGTTGCGCTGACCACGCGCCGACCTCTATCCCCTGAAGTTGTCATTAACTTCGCAGACAAGCGGCGGTCGGTATAGTTCGCTTGCGGATTAAAACCACGGAGTTTGTTTTTTGTTTGTTTGTTGGTATTTTCGGTGGTAAGAAATCAATTTGGCAAATTTCCTGTGGATGTTGTTCAAATCAAGTTTCTTGGAAATGTCTTAGTTTGTTCATAAGTCATTAGGAAGAGACAGGCACAGAGACACGTGACACCTAGGCGAGATGCCAGTGCAATCCTACCTTTTCCTATAAAATGAGAAAAAATGGGCTAAGAACATATTCCGTGATGGAATGGTTTCTTCTAAAGGGTCTGACTATGGTGTATAATACTCAGAGTTACTGGGGTTTTTGAACTTTGTCCATCGTCCGTTATTCTAGAAACTGGAAAACACAACTTTTCGGAAACTGGATCTTTTTCCATCCTCAGGTGCCGGGGGTTTGGGGAAGAAACCTACTCTATTGGATCCCTTAGAAAGAGCTAAGCTCAACCTGAATAGTTTCTTAGTTTTCAAATTTAAGGTGACCCGTCATGGTTAAGTAAGACAAGAGGATGTACCTTACAGGAAGGCCTCTGCAGATTCAGCACAACTGGACTTACACAAATCGAATGTTATGTAACGGCCTCTGGAAATGAATTGAAGTTGTACATGAAAATTCGCAATAAGAATTTAGCAGACTTCTCACGTGACGGATCAGATATACGCAGACGATGCTGGTGCCTTCCCTGCACAGCGTAAGTATTCCATGTGGTCTTCACCACTTCGCGTATTTTTATTTTTTGAAAACTACGTAATTTTCGCTTGTGCAGCAAATGCTGATAAGCACAAAAGTGATTCTAAAGTTATTATTTTTATTACATGTGGAGCGCTATCTTTCGGTCTAGAAAACCGAGATTAACGGCCGTGGGGATTCGTTGCGCTGACTACGCGACACCCTCTATCCGCTAAAGTTCGTCGAGAATTGGCGGTCGCTCGGTAGGTACAGTTCGCTTACGGACTAAAACCACGGAGTTTATTTTGTTTGTTTGTTTTTTTTTTTTTTTTTTTTTGGGCAC